TTTTTATTCCGAATTGGCTTCAGCAGACTTAAAGCTGCACTGGTGTGAAGAGGTGTGCTCAGTCCTTTGGTGGCAGTGAGTCTTTAGATTAGGTCAAATCCCATCGACTGCAGCCTTAGTAAAAACAATTTCCTCTGGGTGTGGAGAAGCAAAAAATAACCCATTACAAGTTATTACAAAACAAAACCAATCTTTAAGTGATTGCAAAAATTCATTTCCTCCAAGAAATGTAGTTAGCTGGTCCCTGCTAGTGTGCATGTTGTGAGACATTTTAAATCTTCTCAAGGTTCCCATAATATTCATTATGATGATTCAGGCAAGAAACACTGAACCTATAAACAACCAGATCTGTCCCAACTTCCAGGTATTGGAATAAGTGTAATATTAAAGTTTTAAATATGTTTACTAACTACAGTGACATCCCAGCCCAAATCCAGTGTTGTTTTTTTAAATTACTTTATATCATTTTTTAGATTTAAGTGGGTTTTTTTTAATGTGCCCTTAAGTTTTTGTAGGTTCTTATTAGTTATTATTCACTGTCTTACCTGTTTAAATTTATTTAACTATATGTGCATCATCTAACTCTTCAGATTGAGTACTGAGGAACATAAGCTGTTTACAAATTGAGATTTTTCTTCTTTCTGGATGTTAACATGAAGAATTTTATGGCATTCTTGTTCTAAAACTTTCTTTTGTTTAAACAAACTCTGTAACACCACTTCCTCTTAGGTGAATCCTGTGATGAAACTCTCTTGGCTTAGAAAAGGATGGGGGGGAAGGGCATTTTGAAAGATAAAAGTAACCTGCAATATTAATACTAATTTCAGAATGTTTTTTGTAAACAGTGCTCAGTATCTGTAAATGCACTATAAATTTTATAAAGCTGGTTTCCTGACAAAAAATTTATTTCATGAACAACCCATTTATAGTACATGCATACACATATGCGTGCCCTGTGATAAATACAATATACTATGAGTTGGCTTGGTGGCTCTCATTTGATGTGGTGGTTGATTGAAATTTCTAGTGTTTGTACATACATACGTATTAGAAGAATGGATCTAATTGCTTCAGTTACTATAAAGTGTGATTTGGATTTTACGATTATTCCCCCCTGCTCCCAGTAATAGATGCTGTTTCATCTGACTGTCTCTTTATATTTGAAAATAGCTGCTTTGGAGAGAAGGGCTTTTTATGCTCTTATGTTTTCCAGCCACGGCTTTTTCAGTTAAGGGTGTGGCTTTTTCTGACATAGTTGTGTTAGAACAGGCTCTCGCATAAAAACACTTATCATGGCAAAAAGTCCTTTGACATTACAGCTTATCTTACTTGGGGGCTGTAGTACACTACATCGGAAAGGAACTGTCTGTACTAAAGATGGTTTTAATTTTTTCTTTTTTTACTGTCTGGGCAGCCTGTTGTGATTTTTCAATGTGACTTTCCAGTTTATAGAACCATTGGCCATTCCCCAGTGTGTGTTCAGCTTAACTGTTCAGAATCCTTTTATTTATTTATCAGTATCCATATTACTGAAGCTCTTACTGGAGAGTTCATCATGCCTTACTCCCAAAGGTCTTCCAAGGAAACTCATAAATAAATTTCAATGGCTTGTGCAAAATGTTGTCAAACACATCTGTTTCTGATTCAAAAATCAACACCTTTATCATCAGTAGCTGACAGCCATTAAAATAAACAATTACTATTAACAGTTACATTAAAACAGTTAATTACTAGACCTTGAGGGGGGGTGCCATTAATTTTGGGCATCTACAAAACTGAGCTATGAAACTGATATTTAACCTTAAATATAAAATGATCACTTAATGTTAAACATTGGCTTTCCTGTAAAATTATTGCTGCTATATAGTGGTGAAGCAGTAATAACTTCCCAGGACGTTCTTGAATACCATCTTATACTTGGGTGAAGGAGTAATACAACTTTGGCAAGACACTGTGATCCCATTGTAATGTTACCTGTGCAGGCTGTTAGGGACTAGCTTCTTTCCAGTGTGAGTAAGAAACAGTGAAGAGAAGTAATTATGTATATAATTCATTTGGAAATAGCTTTTGGTACTCTGAAAATAAGATGGAATTAGTGTAAAGAATTAAATGCAAAATTATGTTTGCAGGTGTATGTACACTCTTCTTTAAATAAGACTGCACATACACATATACACAAGGTGCAACATTAAACTTAGAATATATTCTGGAAGTTGAATGCTTCAGCAGGCAGGAGTGGGCCATTGTTCTTTGGTGGTGGTGGTAAGCATGAACTTGATAGTTTTCCTATGGTTTGCTTTGAAGTAAATACACATTTGGGACTATACTCAACATAATGCAGTATAAATTCTGAACTGTTTGAGTGGATCGGCTTGTCTTTATTTGTGGGCTTGCCCTTGTGCTGTTTCTGAAGTCTCTGATTCTTTGCGATAAGCAGAGGGTGGTGAAGTTTAGACTTAGATTGGGCCAAGTGAGCTATTATTGTAAGAGAGTAAGCCATATGTTTGGATCTGCAAACTGTCATTTTTCAGCAAAAACCTGAATGTAGAGGCATCAGGATAGCTAATAGAGCTCAGAAGAGGGGTTGTGGAAAGTGGGTAGTGGGCCTTCGAAAGCATTTTTGGGGTATGAAACGGCAGATGGTGCAGGCTGGAGATTGTGATGAGAAAGAGAACTTAGAGGGTGTGTGTTAGGGATCTGAAGCTGCCAAAGGAGAGGTGGCTCCTTTGCTATAACTTCGCTTGTTTAAAACTTTCCAGATCTACCTTAAAAGGTTTTCCATGCGGATAAAAGCATTATTTCTTCTCACTATATTTCTCCCTGGGTGGAGGAAAGCTAGTAATTAAAAGAAGTTACAGTAATAAATATGTGTGTATATGCTTACTCTAAAGAAGGAAAAAAAAAGAAAAAGAAAGAAAAGATCTGACCATGACTTTTAAAGCCTAGACTGATTGGTTTAAAATGAAATACTTCAAACAGTGCAGAGATGTCTGTGTGTGTTTATGTAGCAACTCAGTGGGTAGAAATCACTGAGCATCTAAGCACTTAAGACACTTGAGTTTAACATAGATTTTGATAGTAGCATCCTCTTCTGCAGAGTCAAGGAAAATACTTTTCTTCTGCTCATTGCTGTCTCAGTTCAGTGATTTGTTCATTCTGAAATGAGAAACCAGCTGAGTTTTGAAACTTGTTTTCTAATGTAAGAATTAAAGAGGATGAGATCTGCTAATTCTGAAGTCTTGAAGTAGATAATTTTCTTCACTGCAATGATTTTAACATAATCTGCATTTCAAAATAATTTATGTAAACTTGCCTTTTTCTGTGTGGTTCCGCATCTGTGGTGGTTTTAGCTAATAAATATGCAATTAAATTCCTAATCAAATTAAAATCCACAAGGAAGTACAGTTTAAGATGAGTCATTAAGAAAAATCTAAAAATAGTAAAAGAATACAGACGTATGTCAAAATTTACTAATTATAACATGTAGAAGATTAAATCATTGCTTAAATGAAGATACATACAGTCTTTCCTACTACATAGCAAAAAGAATTGTGATGACTTTATAGTATCAGCAGATTTTAATGGTACTAATCCTTGCAAAACTGAAGATGCATAATAAAATTGATTTGTTTAAATCAGAGTTCTCCTTACTGTGTGAACCCTGAATTTAAATTGGTATGATTAATGTGTTCTGCCTTACTGGGACAGGGAGCTAGATTCTGCTACTTTATTCTCTTTATCTATTTTTTCACCTCCAGCAAAAGATCTACTAGCTTTTCTCGTCTCGTTTTCATAGTAAAGTTGCTAAATGTCATGATGGCAAGGGATTTCAACCTTGCATGTTTTGTGTGTAATGTAAATAATTGCAGTTTGCTGAACTAGAAAGCCATTCAGAGTTAAATATTCTTATTACAGTTCAGTGAAGTACAGCTTGTGTTAGTGACATTTTGTTTAATCATGTATGATACGCAAAGACAATAAATCTTTTCTGAAAAAGCTTAATTTTAATTTGATATGGCAGATGATCAGGAATCAGAGGTTTGAGTCTCAAGGTGTTGCAAGAGTGGCTTTACTGAACTGGTTGCTTGTCAGTGGAAAGCTTCAAAAAAATCTTTTAAAAAGGATTTTGGAATGAAGGTTATAATATTGTGCCCAGGAAACTTGGATGATGTTACTCAAAGGGATTCTTGTGAGCGAAAGAAGGATGTGTGTATGAGCAATACCAGCTGAGTTTTCAGCCTTTCTAGTAGATACGTGCAATTGTTGATTACCACATGTAAAACTGAAATGAACCCTGGCCAGTGGGTGGGGGTTGTGTTTGTGTGTGTGCTTTCCAGATTCCAGAACCCACATGCTAATGTAGTGATGTGCAGATTGTTGAATGAACTTAAAATAAATATATTCATGAAAAGCATGCCTCAGGTTGTAGAGTCAGTATTTCTGAGTTTGTCTCCAGAAATGTGTTCGCAATCTGAGCATGTTTTGGTGGGGTTGATTCTTTATATTAATGAACATGTGTAATATCCTATTTCCCGTAATGATTTAAATTCTGATTTGTACAATATTCTTTTCATTTTTTCATTATGTCAGCTTTAACTTCTTAAGTTTAAAAAAAAAAAAAAAAAAAAAGAGTTTAGACCTCATGTGCCTTGAACTTCTCTGTCATTGTCTGTAAGAAGGTTTGAAGGACTTCCATGCTTCTAAAAATCAAGCTGTGTAGACAGCTTAAAGAACTGGAGGTGGTTTAAATGGGAACTCTTGTGTTAGTTTTGTGTAGCATGTACATATGTAGCATATTTGACTTTGCATATATGTTAGCCTACTTTTCTAATCTTGTATTTTAAAATCTTTTTCTCCTCTAAAATACTGCTATCCAATAGTCTAAACATGGTTTCTGTGTTTGGGAAGCATGCTAATTTTAGATGGATTTGAACTGTTACTCTGAAACAAGAAACACGTATGAAGTTCTTAATTGTTTCCTTGCTTGATTTATTTATTCCTCTTCTCTGTCCCCTCTTCATAGGTTCCTTAAAACTGTGCTATGAATGGTGATTCTGGTGTGGGGGTGGTGACTTCACCACCTCCAACAACAGCCCCTCATAAAGAGAGATATTTTGATCGAGTTGATGAAAATAATCCAGATTATTTGAGAGAGAGGAATATGGCACCTGACCTTCGCCAGGATTTTAACATGATGGAACAGAAGAAGAGAGTCTCCATGATTCTTCAAAGCCCGGTAAGAAAAGAAAATGCTCCAACTTTAAAGTGATACATTTAATATCTCTATTTTTAATATCCCTATGGAATTGGAGAAATTTGTGGTATCTTAGATCCATTTGATCTTTTTTCTAGTTGGCCTTTCTTCTAAAGTATCCTAATTGTAGCCTAATTTTTCCTTATGTTATCTGGTTGAATTTTTATTGTCTACTCATGAAGCAGTTCCTCAGTCTTGCTTGCAGAATTCTCTGTGTAATCATGAACATTTTTTTCATATTGTCCATCTAGTCCTGGTGAGATGTTTTTTCACTTGTTTCATGTATTTAATATTCATTTAAACACTTAATTTAAGTAACTCTTCTAAGAGTAGCTTATACAAGGCAGGTCTGTCCTGTGCTCAGTTTTTCATCATGATTCTGAGATATGAAATATTTTTATGTATCTCTTTCTGAAAGCGTGCACAATAATAAACTATGAATGATTGAAATGTAATATTAAAGATGTTTCCCTCAGGGAGAAAATACACAAAATTTCTCTCGTAACATTTGTTCCTTTTGTAATCACTGATGGGTGACTTTAGATGACAAAACATGTCATGACATGATGTCATTAAGAATAGGGACGTAGTGGTATATTTAGTTTTTCCACGTGAAATCAACCCATTTTGTTTAGATTCACTTAATGATTGGAATACTTCTCTTTCAGTACAAATTCCAGTGTTCTTGTCAAAAGCAGCAGCTACCAGCAATAGTAAAAAAACCTGTTTACTTCCTTTCAAAGTAACTCTCTCCCCCAAAAAAAACCAACCAGGAAAAAAGTAAACCACCCCTTGTTTAAATATATTTTAAAAATTCAATGGCTATTCCTTCCTGTGTTCCTGGATGCCTTCTTGGCTCTCAGTTCCCTCAGTGAGCCACACTGATAATTTTCCTTCTCTTTTCTGGTTCTACTACTTTTCCTTTCATGTTTTGTGTTCAATTAGATTGTACATCTGCTCCTTCTTCCAGAAATCATTTTAGTAGGCTCAGTGAGTTTTGGTGTTACTTGAAGAGAGAATGCTGGAATTTCCATTCACAGAAAAATAAGTGACTCTTATCATTGGAGCTCCAGAGAGCAACATTTTCAAGTAACATTATGCACCCAGTAATTCTGCCCTGAGCTGTTTTTCAGAAGAGGTATAGAATGTTTCCATCTAAGTGCTAAAAAGAAGCTGTGTATGAAAGGTTGAAGTTCATTTGAATATGCTTTACAATATGCAATGTCCTGTTGCTAGGCTTTTTGTGAAGAACTGGAATCTATGATCCAGGAACAATTTAAGAAGGGGAAGAACCCAACAGGTTTATTGGCTTTACAGCAGATTGCGGATTTCATGACAACAAACGTACCAAATGTCTACCCTGCAGCACCACAAGGTGGAATGGCTGCGTTGAACATGAGTGAGTGCACCTTAATTTATAATAGTAGAATTCTTCTTTTTTGAAAGGCTTAAAATGAAGACAGTGTGAATGAAATGAAAAGTGCTGTGAAGTTCAAATGCTACCCTGTTCTGCTCACAGAACACTGCAAACATAAAATGACTGATTAGTTTCTAATGCCACAGTGATATGCAATGTGATTCATGTATACAATTTATATCAAAAGCTATTTCAAGTATGGTATCAAGTAAGCCTGATAAGTCAGCACCAGTAAAAAAAAAAAGATTTAAATGTTGCTAATGTTTACCACATGGATTGTCTGCAGGAAAATGAAACGCTCATTAGTAGTCTAGTAACAGTGAAGGTCTTTAGAAACTAATTATTTTTGCCATTGAAATACTGTTTGCAGCATTCTTCCATGAAGTGAAGCTGTAGACAAGAAACATTAGCAGGCAAAACAAAGAAGGAAAACAAAAACCAAAATGTGCAAATGCATGTACTCACAGGTTTTGTGTTAAGATAATATAAATCCTTGCCTGTGTTCCAAAATAAATCTGTAGTTTAAACTGTAGCATGGCCTGGTTCTGCTTTATCACAGTTACTTTTATCCACATTTCTAATTGCACTGTAACTAGAACTACAGTATTTGTAATTATTTACCGTAATCCTCCTCTCTCTAGCTTGTACTTAATGTTTTCTGATTAAATGAACTTGTGTGAATTTTTTTAGATGTATAATTCTCCTTTTCAGGAATACCAAATCATATATCTCAAAAAGTGGAATATTTGGGGTTACATTTTTCTGTTAACAATGAAGTTGTATTTTACAGACAATCATTAGTTTGAGAGAGAAAAAAAAAAATTTTGCTAAGGAAAGCACTGACTCCTTAGCACTAATGAATATTAAGGAAGGAAATGAATGCTGAGTCTACTGAAGATAAATGACCTTGTCCAAGACTGTTGTTATATTTGTGTAATGCAAATTATGACATTATAGTAATTAAAGTTTGCTATCCATTCCTTGGGTCAGTATGTTGATACAAACTAGTAAGAACAACCACTATAATAGTGGTGCATGTTGTTAGGTTTTAACTGATGTTGAACACAACCCCCCTTGTGGTTTTTTACCCCTTCTGCTTTTCAGGTCTTGGCATGGTGACACCAGTGAATGATCTGAGAGGATCAGATTCCATTGCTTATGAAAAAGGGGAGAAGTTGTTACGATGTAAATTGGCAGCTTTCTACAGATTAGCAGATCTCTTTGGCTGGTCTCAGCTTATTTACAATCATATAACAGTGAGTATTGAATCAGCAGATAACTGAACCAATTGTTTTAACATACAAGAGAATTGCTTCCCTCACCCATCTGTCATTTTCTCTTTGTGTGGAAGAGGAGCAAAGTGGTATTGAAAGCACTGTAATAGTGAAGAGACTTGTCATTGCATCTCAAGAGTAAGAACTGGAACAGCTTGGATGTCAGCTGTCATAGCCTGAATAGAGTCTTAAGAGAGTGTACATGAAAGTTCTTATGTCGAAATTAAGATTCCTGAAAGACTCGGTCTTTTAGTATCTTAAATACTTTGAATAGTTGTATGTATTTTTCTGCAAGGTCATGTCTTAGTTTTCTTGCTAAGTGCTAAAAAATCTTATTAGTCATTCAGTTGAATTTTATAATTCAAGGTACCAACCTTTTTGAAAAAGAAGCCACAGTATTTCTGAACACAAGCGAACTACTTAGCTTAATGCAGTGTGCCAACAATTTTCCTTGTGACTGAGTAATCGCTGGCATCCATAAAAATAATGACATGGAGGTCAAATCAAGGAGGTTTTATATGCCAGAAGAATGATCAACATGAGTCTCATGAGTAAAGTCACAGCTGTGGTGTGCAACCCAGTCAATTGTTTTCCTAACAGAGCTGAATTGTTTTTTTTCCTACATAGTAGAGGTTGTCCTTTATGTATTTTCAGTTCTTCTAGTTGCAGTCTGAATGAGATACAGTAATTTTATTGTTACTGCTTTTTGAGATTTCAAGGTATATTATTTGTTTGTAATCATGTTTGTAATCATTGATGTGAGAGGAGAAGGAAATGACAGATCAACATTCATATGAAATAACGATGGAAGGACAGAGTACAATTATACTTTTTCTTATCTATAATTAACGTAATAGTTTTAACAAAAGCCTAAGGAAAATTATAAAGAAAAGAAGTTTCACCAAAAATAATGGAGATGAAGAGGCCCATTACTGAGTCACACAAGGACCTTGATGACTTAGAATCATAGAATCATTAAGGTT